CTCTCTCTCTCTCTCTCTCTCTCTCTCTCTCTCTCTCTCTCGCTCTCTCTCTCTCTCTCTCTCTGTGTGTGTGTGTGTGTGTGTGTGTGTGTGTGTGTGTGTGTGTGTGCCTAACATGTCAGCGTTTGTGGGCACCGAGCATATTCCAGCTCTGCAGAGAATACCCGGAATACACTGCGTCTTTTTTTCTTTCTTTCGTCTTCTTTCTGTGACAGTCTCGAGTCTTTGATCCGCTCCTCTTTCCTTCTGTCTTCTCATCTTCTCTCAGAATCTTCTCTGCACCGTGCTGTTGAAAGCAAAGGTACGAGGCAGAAAAACAGAGCTCAGTTTTGATAGAGTAACATTTATGATAGGACCCTATTTTTAACTAAAGTTTTTTTTTTGTCCGATGAAAACATCTTAAAAAGAAAACAGTTGGTGACTTTAAGAAACATAACTAATCTTAATATATAACTTTTTGATATGAATTTGAATTTGTTGGTAACTTTTGTGACATTTGGCTTAAAACTGGAGATCAAACTAGCTGGATTTGGCTTGTGTGGGACAAGATTTTGAAGATTCAATCCTAACAAGATAACCACCAACACTAAAACCCATATTTCCTCACGTTACACATAGAACAATCTTATTTTAAAACATTACAGGGAGCCGGTGATGGATGTGATCCTTTAACATTATGTGATTTCACTGATCTTTTTGACACTTTGTGCGGAAAAAAACCACAAGCTTTTCTAGTATTTTAGCTCCATATTTCCATTTGTACTTGTAAAGGTGCTTGTAAGGACTTGAGAAAGGCCGTCGGAGGCCAAGAACTGCTGCCAGAGGAATGCTCCAGGAAGCAGGTTGTAGGGATCCACCATAGCAAAGTGACTGACTAGTAGCTCAGTAGCCTTTTCAATACTGACTTGATACGAATTCAGTAAAGGTCTTGTTCCTAAAATGGGCCAGTCCTGTTTAAATAACACAGAAATGTTCCCTCAAAACCAAGCAAGTGGGTCAGGTTAACTTCTGAGAGCTTAATGTGAGAGAAGAATCCTCCATCTTGGTTTTTAAAGTCACAAATCAGTGAGGAACAAGCCCCAAAGAGTTAACTTTGTGTAAAAGTACCCCCCCTTCAGGTTTCAAGGCTCACAGAACTTTTAATTGCTTACAAATGTTAATGTTACTCAAAGGTTTCATTTAACAAATTCATGCAAAACCTTTTTATTTCATTTACTTTCACAATTATTCAAACAATGTTTGCAGACGTCTTGCCCCAGCCTTTTCTGCATTCATCATACTACAAAAGGTTACGGTGCTGCTGTCAGCCTCAGCGATTGTAACGCTGGATGTGATTTAATAATTGGTGGAAGTACACTAAAATCTTAACGCGGTGGCAGTGAGAAGGCCCTAGCAACAGGGAGAGGATGAAGAAAGCGTCAGACTGAGAGGGAGGGGGAAAGATGCAGAACATCAATAAATAATGGCCCCGCTGAGGAGGTGGAAATATGGGCCTCGTTATCTTTGCACTGACACCTTCATTTGCATGTGAGAAAATGAGGCTGCTGCTAACTCACACACACTGTGCAAACACACTTTTGGACTCGCATCAGCTACAGTATATTTTCTATTTATAGAAAATGTCATGCTTTCATTTATTTTTTATTCTCTAACACACATTTACTTTACACACTTGCAACATTTCCTTTATCTTCTTCTAGAATGTATTACAGTGCAGGTCTACTCAGTTTATGGACTAGAAAGCAGATATTTTGTTCAGTTCAAAGAATATGAAGTGAAAGCACTTAAAGTTTGAAAGGGGTGTTTGCTGGGGGCATTCATTTAAGCAGTATTCCTTTTTTCAACTGAGCATATTTGGCGGGGTGGTTTCTATTAAATGTTTGTGTTTTTGCAAATGAAAATGTGCAATTTAGGCTGTTTGACATTTATCACGCATTGGTGAACATTTATGGAAACATTTTAATGAAAACTGCAACTATAAGACTGATTATCTTAATTTGGAAGCAAAAACAGGAGAATAACCTTAATAATGTCTTTAACTGTATTTCCTGCTGTTTCTGTACAAACGCCGTTATTAATTACCTGTAGATAGCATTCTGAACAGCCTCAGCTCAGATAAATACAGTTTACATTTTGCAGGACTGAGAAGCTTGTCTAAAGAAAAGAGAATTAAAGGTGCCATATTTGTTCTTGGAAAAAGCCGTTCAAGCAAGCCACATATTGGAGCAAAAATAAAGAAATAAATAAAAAATCCAAAGGTCCGACCACCTTTCTTCAGGTTCCCTCCTACAGACACAGAATCTGATGGTTGTAGACAATGGTTGAACACCTGCTTAAAACACACACTAACAAGCAGACACGCAGACACTTCCAGAACCAACTTCAAACCAAACCTCCTCCCACTCACTTTGTGTACCCCCCCCCCCCCCCCCCCCACACACACACACACACACTAAGTATGCTAGCATATGTAGGGTGTGTTGTTTAAATGGAGCCTGCTCATGGCGACGTACGATCGTACACACTTATTCTGAAGCAAAAGATTAAGTTGAGAACTAGCTGCTTTCCTAGACAATAAAACTCTAAACAGAAAATGTTCCATGACACTGAGCAGCTAAGTTAGCTTCTCTTCCTGTTTGGATGCTCAGCCGAGAACTCGTGTTTCGTTCATGGCGTAAAAGAGGTTTCGAGGACCATGGTTATGGATAGGTTATGAGTCATAGCCAGGGGGACCAGGACTGGGTTGTATAATGTTTTTTCCAGGATATTGTGCTTCAGAGGCGATTGAAATTATTTCTTTTTTGACGAAACATTGAATTTACCATAGGTATGTGAAAAGCATTTCAAGCAATATGGCAAAAAAAATGTTCAGATGGTGCCTTTAAACCTGTTCCAACTGCAACTATGCCCTCATGTTTGAGTCCTTTATATGAAATTCTCTTATTAATTACATGTGTAAATATCAACAACAGCAGCTAAATGTAGCATCCATGGATCAATTCTTGATATTTCTGTGTAAAGTGAAATGAATGTTAGTGCAAGAGTAAAAAAAGTGTAAAGGAAATGCTCTGATGTGTGGTTTGAGTTGTTTTTTCATCAGACCGATGAGCTAAATTAGATTTTGTATGTATTTATTTTGATGCTCCAAATAGAAGCAAACTACAAAGGATGAGATAACAGATATTTGTGAATTTGACCAAAAAAACACATCTCAAAGAGTTTTAAAATGGTTCATTTTAGTTTTTCTTTTTGTCTTGGATTTCTACACAAAACCAAACTTTTTTTCTGCTTCAGCTGTCACACAAAGTTCCCATCTGGAACACATCTGCAGACAGATCATGAACATTTTGACTCCATTTTTATACATGAATGCGTCTCATTGAAGCTGACCAAACTCTCAACAAGGTCCAACAATGTCAGCCTCCTCAAGGCTTTGTGGCTTCTTTTAAAGAGCCTATTTTGCAAGTGAAAGGATGTTTTTAAAAGAGTCATTTATTGTTGAAAACCTGTGCAGACAACCGGGAACAAGAAGATTTGAGCTCTTAATTATGTTGTAAATGTAAATAAAAATGTGTCCTTGAAACAGCACAGTTAACATCCACATTACTCAATGACTTTCTGTCTGGTTTTGATTTTTTCTGATGGATTAAATTGTGTGAATTCGTAATACATTTTTATTCACGTGTAGCTAACATTCACAATAAACGTAAATCACAACTTCTGACACACATTGGCTCCGTTTCCATCATCCAGTTGAGTCAATATGAATAAAAGCTGAAGTAGCACAGTGATTTAGGATTTAGTAATTAATATTTCACTTCGTCTCCCACTCTGCTTAGAGACTTAGAGCACGTGACAAGAGAGAAAGATGAAAAGCACGAGACAGACGATACGAGAGTTCACACAAAGACATGAAAGACTCCAAACAGATTTCTGCAGCGAGCCACTCGGTCAGGACGAAGGGACAGAGGGCGGGATAAAGCGATGCGTGTGTTGTGTAATCAGTGTTTTTTTAGAGGTTGCAGATGGGATGAATTCAGCCCTCTGCTGAGGACGGAGACAGAAAAGTGTGGCTCTGACACATCCAGCTGACTCCCCCCTACACACCCCTCCCGAGCTCTCTCCCTGCCTGTGTCAGAGTGTTGTGACAGGCACGTCTTCGGTGTTGTGGGAGTAGCAGACTTAAAGTGCTCATTATCCTGTAAGGCTTCGTTCTGGGGGGCAAACAAAGGCTGCTGTAAAATTGCAGCCTGTGCCTCCTCTCAGGTCATGCAGCCCATTTGATGCAAACACATGCACGATCCATAACCGCTGCCTTTAGTGTAGCCGCTCAGCCTTGCGACCGACAAACGGGGGGATTTTACATTGCAGATCGATGCAGATGAACACGGTTTTGAATCCAACTCAGACTAAGTTGTTACCCAGCATAAACTTAAAAGATTTTTAGCAACAAGACAAAAGGACTAGTAAAAATATGCTCCTGCTGTGTCCAAAGTGAGTCAGTGTGACTAAAAAATGGCTCAAACCCAAGGTAAACTCTAAGAAATGTGGTGTTAGAAATTGTGGATTTTAGATAAATAAAGCGAATAATTTTAAATCAGATGACTGAGAAAAGACTTTAGGTGTGGTTTGAAACCTTTGATTCTTTTTCTTAACCAATACTATGGCAGCATAAGACAAATGTTTGAAAAACTCTTTATTTTTTCTTTTGAGGAGGGTTGTGTGTTAGTTATTGCCCCCTGCGTTAGTTTTCTGACCGTGTCCGTGTGTGGTGTAAGTGACCGATGTGTGTCCTCCAGGTCTTGACAGAGAGCCAGGTTTCGTGAAGCAACATCGTTAGTGCAGGTAGTGACATCTGCTTGTTCACGGAACATCCTGCGTCTGTAATGAGCACAGTGTGATAGTGCCAGGCTGTAAGACGAGGAGGGACGGGAAGTTCTGTGATTGTCATTATTTCTTCTGAAAATTGAAGGTTGGTCCTTGTCGTGTGTGTTTCTTAGGTAACAGGTTCTCACTGACCTCCTTTGGGGCCCTTTACATCTCTGATGTTCAGAAGGAGGACGCCCTCTCCACATACCGCTGCATCACCAAGCATAAGTACAGTGGTGAGACACGGCAAAGCAACGGGGCCCGGTTGTCAGTAATGGGTGAGCAGCTCGGTGACGGTTTATTATTGCTCTTCGTTTTATTTCCTTTTGTCTTAAACATTTAACTCCGTCTGTCTCCCTAAGACCCCAGCGAGTCCTCGCCCGTCATCTTGGACAGTTTCCAAGCAGGGGAAGTGTACGCCGGGCAGAGCATTGACCTCCCCTGCATAGCGGGCGGCTACCCCAGCCCCACAGTTCGCTGGCTAAAAGATGGCCGACCTCTGCCCTCAGACGCCCGCTGGACACGACGCCTGACGGGACTCACCATCAGTGACCTGAGACAGGAGGACAGTGGCAGCTATGCCTGTGAGGTCACCAACAGCTTTGGCTCAAAGGAGGTTTCTGGACAGCTTCACATAATAGGTGTGTGAACACCATGGCACACACATACACACACACACATACACACACGAAACACACACTCTCACACACCTTGACAAATAACCTGACAGACTCTCACGTTGTCTCCTGAATTAACCAAGCAGAGGGACACACTTCTAGACTCGGTTCTTTTGGTTTGAGGCACACGTGTCAAGTTGGTCACGCTTCAAGTGTTTGTGTAACAAATATATCTGAGCCGTTTGATGCCCCATCATATCAGGCTTCCAAAAGAGACAGGAGCAACACATCGCAGAGTCTGACTCCATAACACAGCTGCCAGCGCCTTTCCCCATCAAAAACCGGGAGGTTGATAAAGGTAGAGATGACGATGAGGGGTCACACAAGGGACAGTCGGACATCCAGACAGTGTCGGAATGAGATTATCAGCAATGTGATAACAGAATAATAGGAGCAGAGGAGATGAATACACACGTGTGTGTGCGAGAGGTACACAATGAAACAAAGACAAACGGGTGAGACAGAGGGAGAGAATAGAGAGGCAGTAGGCTTTGCCAGTGGGCACATCATGGCAGCACACTCTGTGACTCTGACAGGGGGGGGGGGGGGGGGGGGGGGTTGGAGACACAGCGATGGCCCCCAGCATACACCACCAGCTGCCTTATTGCTCACTGACATTTACACACACACACACACACACACACACACACACACACACACACACACACACACACACACACACACACACACACACACACACACACACACACTAGTGGACAGAGATGTGAAGAGAGATCTCCAGCTGCTTTTTTAATGAGTGTGTCGAACTGATTGGGTCGCCGCTGCTGATCGTGTCCTCCCCGTTAGAATTTAAACACCTACTGTATGCTTGAATTAGTGTGTCATGATCTGAGTCCAGCGTAATGGTTTCAGACTCAGTTGATGCAAAGCAATGATACCCTTTAGGGACTCAACTGGACATGATCTTTTATTTAAATGTCAGTTAAAAAAATTTATAAAACACCACCTTTTCATAGAAATCCTAATATTTTCCTTTGCATTCACAGTAAAGAGACATTTGAAGGATTAAAATGTAATGAAATCAGTTTTTTCCATTGATTCTCAGCAGTTATACCCCTAAGCTGTCATTTTGAGCATTCTTAAACTGAACAATAAAACAGTGGTTGTTAAAGGGCAGTCCCCCTGGCCAAATTTGGTCCACGAATAAATCAATTATTAATAAATTACCCATAATCCAACACAAGAATCAGTTTTAGCCCAGTTCAGAAAAGGTTAACAACAGCAGTCCATCAGAGAAACAGCGTGGTGAGAGGACCAGCAGCAGACAATGTGGACCGTAATTCACCAGGAAGTAAGAAATGAAGTTATGAGTGTAAATTAGTGTTTGACACGTGACATGTTTATTTATCTTACTAATGTTGGCTAAATGTAGACATCTGTAGGGGTCAACATCTCCAAAACATTTTCATTTGGACCAGATAGATGCAGTCCCAAAGGTTCTTCTGGATGTGTGCTCAGATGTGTAAAGGTGTGGGTGACTGAAAAACTTTTTAAGTGTTTTATTTTTCTGATTATAATCGGGCACTCTGAGTTTTTCATGCAGGCTAAGCATGAAAATAGTCTCCTACACATATCTCCTACATTAGCTTCTGATAGAAAACAGATGGTATAAATATAGGATTTGAAAATCCTCACAGATCTATGTCAAACAGAATCAGCATTAATGGGCTCACTGATCTTGAAGGTTGTTGTTTGAACGTCCAGGAAGCAGCGGATGTCTCGGCTAGTTTAAGCTAACCATTAGCATTAGCAACATCACCACATGACAGAAGCTCCTCCAGGCTTGTGTTATTTGTGGAGATAAAACATCGTTGTTGTAAGTCAGTGGTAGATGTGTGTTACTAGTGTTGCCAACTGTTTTTGACTGAAAGTAGCTGAAGGTCCCCCCAAAAGTCGCTAGATGTCGCCGGATGACGTCACGTGCTAATTTGCATGTTGATGATGTCATCACGCCACATTGGCGTTCATTTTCCCCATAGCATCTAAAACACACACACACACACACATATATATATATATATATATATATATATATATATATATATATATATATATATATATATATATATATATACTGAAGATTTTTAAAACATGTTGGTCTTTTTAGGACTAAAAGGGAGGAAAATAACAAAAACTGTTTTATGTGTTAAAGTTATCAATTAGTATGATTAAAATGGCCCAAATTGTTTTGATATGTAAAATAAATTCCAAAAGTATCAACAAAGTGACATTAAGACAGATATGGTGTGGCGATCCAAACAGTTCTGTTGTAGGACATACCACAGACCTCCTGCTCTCCTCATTCTCACAGACATTTTAATTAAAAGCTGGGTTTTTTTACACCTCATAGTTCCTCAACTTCTCTGTTGTGTTTTCTCTCCATCGTGATAATAACGGCGCACCGAGCAAAAGGGTGCAGGTTCTCATGGTATAACCATCCCTGTGTCACTGAAGGAAATTCAGATGAGCCACAGAGCTGCGTGTGTGAACGGGACAGTAGTTGAAACTCCCGTTGACTTTATTTGCCAAATGCAGAAAAAGCCAAAGTGTCTGACAGCTGCAGAACCAGGG